GTCATGGTGTTTAATTTTTCTTTTCATTCTTAAAACTGAAAACTTTCCCTGGGATGAGTAAAAACCTATACCACTAGCATTCACTTTTTCCAGGGATAGAAAGTGGGAAATTGGTACATGGTACAGTTACTATATACCTCCTATAAGTTTGTCATTAAAGAAGAAGATTTACTTATCCTAAAGAAGGCTTTTATGTTAAAACCAAGTTTCCAAGATATGTTTAGTAAAGTAAAAGTAATACACTAAAATAAATTGCAGCATTACATGGCTTTGTACAGTGTTATTAAAACTGAGTCAATGTCATGTGGATAGAGCCTGTTATTCCACTGCAATTCACATATTCAGAATTTGAATGAACTTTTACTATCTGAACACCACGACTTAGGTCTTTACCAACACAAAGATTACAGATGCATAATAGTACCCTGTGGTCTCTCACGTCTTTCAGGAGAAGAAAGGTTGTGTCTCAAAATTAACCCACTGTCAAAAAAAGCTAGACCAGTACCTTTGTATTTCCACTGCACCTGTGCTTACTTTTGCTTGGATATGCTCTTTTGAATCAATTGCCTCAACTCTGTATTGGAGTGGGAATACTGAAGTGTATTTACAGCAGAATTCATTAGAGCTTGTAGATGCAGAGAACCTGAAAGGATTTACTCCCCTTTTCTATCTCTTTGCATAGATGCACAAGTCATGATATGAAGGGGGGAAAAAAATCACTGTTTGGAGGCAGAGGAGAGAACTGTTCTGCATGAGAGTTACACCACTCTACAACAAATCATTAGACAAAAATGTAAATAATTTCTATTTGAAACCAATTCATGTGTTTGAGGTTTGTTTTAATTTTGACAAATATTCTCCAATCATACAAAGCTTAATTAGAAAATAAAAAAGCATTCCAGAATCCAGGAACTTCCTGTACTCTTCCTTTCCCCCATTCTATGTATCTTTCAAGGCTGCAGCAGTACCTAACACACTCCGTCCCATGGGAGACTACACAATGGACAGCTGCACATGCTGCTAGCTGTGAGTGCCTCATGGATGTATGTGCTTATGACTTCTCTGTTCCCTCTCCTTTAAAGATACGTTCCCCTGCATATACGAAGTTTTTCTTTGAACAACATAGGTATGTTTGCATGGATGCAGAAGTGAAAAAAATATCTATTTATGAAAACTAAATTTAACTTTATTATTCTCTATCACATGGTGGCTGCTGCTAACATTTACTGACAACAGCAATATGTGCAGATGTACTGTTATGGTTGGGCACACTTCACAATCATTACAATGTTCATAGCATGGTACAAACAAACAATTCCAGGCTCAGTACACTATAGCAATACACATTGCTGTGGCTCATTATTAAAATGTTCTTCCAGGCCCCCTTGACCAGACAGCCCTCCTCACTGATCTCATCTTATAGTCTTTGAGTTCATAATGCACAGCAAAATATTGAAGAATCCATGCTTTCTGACACAGATAGAGATGGTTAGCTTGCAGGTAACCAGGCAGTTGAAATGCACGTGGATGGTCATGGAATAATGGGATTCAGAAACCTACATCAGATGACGTTGAACCTTCCCCCTCCACGAAGCATTGCAAACCCTTCCAAAAGCAATCTGTAGTCAGTATGCACTGTTTCCTGCATCTATGCAAGAGTTGCTACTGTGGATGTGCTCCACCAACACAAGGTGCACAGTACAGACATGCAACCATGAATCAATTACACAAATTAATTATAACATTGGCATAATTGCAGTTGACTTAACTTTGTAGTGTAGTCAAGCCTTCAGCATCATGCAGAAGGAAACTAGCAGAATCTGGCAATCCTGCAATGGTAAACAAAGTGTCTCGCAGGCCACACAAAACCTCACTGGGCCACCAGCTGCCCACCACTGCTCTAAAAACTGAACAAGTTGGTCTTTTTTGTCTCTCAAGGTAGGAAGCAGCCATAGGTAGAGAGTACAGTAAAGCTCCATTGGTCCGGCATCTGATGGTCCGGCACTCCTGATGGTCCGGCACCATCAGGAACCCGGAAGTGCTCCGAGCAGCCGGACCATTGGAGCTTCTCTGCCCCCAGCTTCCTCGATTCAGCCGCTGCTGCTACTGACCAGCGGCTGACTCCAGGTAGGGCCCGTAGCGCTGCCCCTCGGGGCTGAGGGGCACAAA